AATTAATCTACTGCCTTCTTCCATCAGTCGTCTGACTATGTACTTATCTATCCAATTCAGTCTTCGTTTGTTAACTAATGTAGTGTAAAAAAAAAAGGTATTTCGATTGTTTACGATACTTGCGTAAGTGCAAAGTCGAACTGTTTTTCACGTGTGTAGACATGTGGTGCACTTACAGTAAAAGTAGTCGCCTTCTTCTACCCACCATAAGTTATGATGGCCTGTACAACGTGTACTAGGGATAAGCAAAAAAAAAAAACGATACTTGCTACCTGCTGATTGCTGTTTCTTGGATAACTTATGTAGGTAGCCTATGTCGGTTTACTGAGCTTCTCTCTTGCCGAGACATTGCCAGAATTTCTATCAACATTGGGTTAGGTCCATTTCCGCATTATAATTTGATTGTTTTAAGGTCGTTCCAAAAATCATTTTCATGTTGTGAGAATAAAGAAGGGAAAGAAGAAATCGTCCGTTGAAATATCAAATTGGCCATTGAAGAGTGAGTTTATTTTGTTGCTGTTGTCACGTCTAAGCTCTTCATTGGAAAATGGCTCTCTGTCGTTAGCCACCTTGGACCAGAATATAGTCGAATATTCCAAGGGTCGAGGAAGGTGTGGTCGGACTTCTTCCCCCCAACTGTCTTCAAGTACAATAATATTTTTGCATACCTTTATAGTAGACATTTTCAGACTCGGAGCCTTTACTCAGTCTTCCCTTCTAAATCTGTGTTCTGGTTTGTAACATTCACTCATTCTGAATCTGTGTTCTTGCTCGGAGCATGCACTCAGTCTAAATCTGTGTTCTGGTTTGTAACATTCACTCAGTCTGAATCTGTGTTCTTGCTCGGAGCATACACTCAGTCTAAATCTGTGTTCTGGTTTGTAACATTCACTCAGTCTGAATCTGTGTTCTGTCTCAGAGCATACACTCAGTCTAAATCTCTGTTCTGGTTTGTAACATTCACTCAGTCTGAATCTGTGTTCTGGTTTGTAACATTCACTCAGTCTGAATCTGTGTTCTGGTTTGTAACATTCACTCAGTCTGAATCTGTGTTCTGGTTTGTAACATTCACTCAGTCTGAATCTGTGTTCTGGTTTGTAACATTCACTCAGTCTGAATCTGTGTTCTGGTTTGTAACATTCACTCAGTCTGAATCTGTGTTCTGGTTTGTAACATTCACTCAGTCTGAATCTGTGTTCTGGTTTGTAAAATTCACTCAGTCTGAATCTGTGTTCTGGTTTGTAACATTTACTCAGTCTGAATCTGTGTTCTGGTTTGTAACATTCAGTCAGTCTAAATCTGTGTTCTGGTTTGTAACATTCACTCAGTCTGAATCTGTGTTCTTGCTTAGAGCATACACTCAGTCTGAATCTGTGTTCTTGCTTAGAGCATACACTCAGTCTGAATCTGTGTTCTTGCTTAGAGCATACACTCAGTGTGTTACATTCAAAATCATTTATTTTTTTAGAACAAAATTTAGTCTATCTTCCATTCTAGACAATCGAGATAAGAAGAACCTCTACACATCTCTATAACCAGTGTGTTCAAAGCGTTCTGTTAAATCTAACATGAAGTTCCAGTGTATCTAAGATGGAGTCCCACACACACAGTGTATCTAAGATGGAGTCCCACACACACAGTGTATCTAAGACGGAGTCCCAGTGTATCTAAGATGGAGTCCCACACACACAGTGTATCTAAGACGGAGTCCCAGTGTATCTAAGATGGAGTCCCACACACACAGTGTATCTAAGACGGAGTCCCAGTGTATCTAAGATGGAGTCCCAGTGTATCTAAGACGGAGTCCCAGTGTATCTAAGATGGAGTCCCACACACACAGTGTATCTAAGATGGAGTCCCACACACACAGTGTATCTAAGATGGAGTCCCACACACACAGTGTATCTAAGATGGAGTCCCACACACACAGTGTATCTAAGATGGAGTCCCACACACACAGTGTATCTAAGACGGAGTCCCAGTGTATCTAAGATGGAGTCCCACACACACAGTGTATCTAAGACGGAGTCCCAGTGTATCTAAGATGGAGTCCCACACACACAGTGTATCTAAGACGGAGTCCCAGTGTATCTAAGATGGAGTCCCAGTGTATCTAAGACGGAGTCCCAGTGTATCTAAGATGGAGTCCCACACACACAGTGTATCTAAGACGGAGTCCCAGTGTATCTAAGACGGAGTCCCAGTGTATCTAAGACGGAGTCCCAGTGTATCTAAGATGGAGTCCCACACACACAGTGTATCTAAGACGGAGTCCCAGTGTATCTAAGATGGAGTCCCACACACACAGTGTATCTAAGACGGAGTCCCAGTGTATCTAAGATGAGTTCCAGAGATTGTATCTAAGATGGAGTTCCAGTGTATCTAAGATGGAGTTCCACACACACACAGCGTATCTAAGATGGAGTTCCAGTGTATCTAAGATGAGTTCCAGAGATTGTATCTAAGATGGAGTTCCAGTGTATCTAAGATGAGTTCCAGAGATTGTATCTAAGATGGAGTTCCAGTGTATCTAAGATGGAGTTCCACACACACACACAGCGTATCTAAGATGGAGTTCCAGTGTATCTAAGATGGAGTCCCACACACACACAGTGTATCTAAGATGGAGTTCCAGTGTATCTAAGATTGGAGTCCCAGTGTATCTAAGATTGGAGTCCCAGTGTATCTAAGATGGAGTCCCACACACACAGTGTATCTAAGACGGAGTCCCAGTGTATCTAAGATGAGTTACAGAAAGTGTATCTAAGATGGAGTTCCAGTGTATCTAAGATGGAGTTCCAGTGTATCTAAGATGGAGTTCCACACGCACACACACACAGCGTATCTAAGATGGAGTTCCAGTGTATCTAAGACGGTGTCCCAGTGTATCTAAGATGAGTTCCAGTGTATCTAAGATGGAGTTCCAGTGTATCTAAGATGGAGTTCCAGTGTATCTAAGATGGAGTTCCAGTGTATCTAAGACGGAGTTCCAGTGTATCTAAGATGGAGTTCCAGTGTATCTAAGATGAAGTTCCAGTGTATCTAAGACGGAGTCCCAGTGTATCTAAGATGAGTTCCAGTGTATCTAAGATGGAGTTCCAGTGTATCTAAGATGAGTTCCAGTGTATCTAAGACGGAGTTCCAGTGTATCTAAGATGAAGTTCCAGTGTATCTAAGATGGAGTTCCAGTGTATCTAAGATGAAGTTCCAGTGTATCTAAGATGGAGTTCCAGTGTATCTAAGATGAGTTCCAGTGTATCTAAGATGGAGTTCCAATGTATCTAAGATGGAGTTCCAGTGTATCTAAGATGGAGTTCCAGTGTATCTAAGATGGAGTTCCAGTGTATCTAAGATGAAGTTCCAGTGTATCTAAGATGGAGTTCCAGTGTATCTAAGATGAAGTACCAGTGTATCTAAGATGGAGTTCCAGTGTATCTAAGATGAAGTTCCAGTGTATCTAAGATGAAGTTCCAGTGTATCTAAGATGGAGTTCCAGTGTATCTAAGATGAAGTTCCAGTGTATCTAAGATGAAGTTCCAGTGTATCTAAGATGGAGTTCCAGTGTATCTAAGATGGAGTTCCAGTGTATCTAAGATGGAGTTCCAAAGTGTATCTAAGATGAAATTCCAGTGTATCCCATAAAGCGCAACATCGGTCCGACAAGGAAAGGAAGGAGAAGGCACCGCTAAAAAAAGCCATCAAGCGATAGAAAGAGGGTCAGCTGTGTGATTCCTCAGGTAACGGCCCATTGTCCGGGGTCGATCATCTGTGATAACTCATCCCAATTAGCAGCTTCCTGTGACCCATCATCCCCTCGGGCAAACAGACTTTACACCACGTTATGTCTCTTCACAGAGGTTTTAATTGCATTACCTGAATATTTACAATTCAGTCAAAGAAATACTTAACATGATCTTTAAGATAGAGGTTGCCTGGCCAGCTTTCATTGTTCTTAAAAGTAAGAGACGCTTCGGCCCGAAAAGGCGTTTTTTTATTTTCTCGACGTTTTGACAAAAATATTGTGTCCTCTTCAGGAAGAAACCCAATGATGAACCAAACTCTTCCATTTTCTCATCGCAATGAGGAGAGTAGAAATGTTGTTTTATGTGTAAAAGAAACATTCGTACTGAATAATTTTATCACTTATACATTGGTAGTTACTACTCCGTATGTTCGAGTGTAATCTACAATACTCCAGTGTCTCTCTGTGTAGATCTAGGATGGGAAGTCCGTTATTCCGAATGGTGAAGTGATTTGATGAAAGTGTGTTACGGGATACAAGATACGCCACCACTCCCTACGAAAACCACACACAGCATCACCTAAGTTTGTGTAATTTCACTTGAATTCATGTTAGGGATACCTAGTTTTGTGCCTATAAACTAAACTACATCCGCTCTAGGAGTGTTTGGGGCTTTCTTCCAGATTATCTCATTTGGAGTGGATAAACGGTGAAATTGCAACTTTCACCTAGGCCAACAACTTTGCCTCATTATCAGACATTTTGTCGCAATACTTTTCAAAGGTAGTCCTCTTCTTTAAAATAAGAATATGTTTCAAATCTCTTTTAGTTTTAACTAGCCGAATGACCCGGGCAACGCCCGGGGTTTACCCGATTAAATGCTTTTATTCAAATACTATTCGTTACAATTATAAATTGGCGCCGTGGATGTCATTCTTGTATAATATATAAATGAGTTTTAAAAATTGTAAAAAAAAAAATGCATCGGCCGGGAATCGAACCCGGGGCGCTCGCGTGGCAGGCGAGCATTCTACCACTGAACCAAAAGCAAACGGTGACAGAATTAAGAACGCATGACGATGATAACTGTATATTATCCGTGACAGAGGCGGCCGATGAGGAAAGACGGTCGTGACTATATATAGTAATATTTTAAAAATACGAAGAATTCGAATGAGAGATATGACTTCTGGAAAAATCACAAAAGTGTTGAGATGTTTAATTTTTTAAATTCGAATTATTATTTATTACCTTAAATTTTTAATATTTCTCTCCCTTGTGTTTCTCACTTAGCCGGTCTTACCCCAGCAGCTTCGTTCGTCACTGCACGTCCCTAATCAGTTCTGACGTCGCTAGAAGTAAATATTTGTCGCCTTTTCCAGTTAACAGAAGTTTGGAAGCTCCACTGTTGATATTTTTTTAAGTTTTTCTATTCTTCAGAAATAGTTATTTTAGGCCTTCTTCTCTCTATGTATATATTTACACTCATGGACAACATTTAAGGCAGTTGTTGTATCTTTCAGCATGTATATCGGGGTCCAGACAATAACTCTGAAAGATACACTCATGGACAAAACTTAAGGAAGTTGTACCTTTTACCATGTATATCGGGATTCAGACAATAACTCTGAAAGATATTACAGTGGCCTTTATTGAAGACACACGAGATAACCAAGTTTGAAAAAAAAATGACCTCTGTCTCCTTAAAAAAAAAAAAAAGAGCTCGGTGGACTCAGTTCACAGGAGCCCCGCCACGGAAGGATCCCGCGGTATACTCAGTCCACAGGAGCCCCGCCACGGAAGGATCCCGCGGTGTACTCAGTCCACAGGAGCCCCGCCACGGAAGGATCCCGCGGTGTACTCAGTCCACAGGAGCCCCGCCACGGAAGGATCCCGCGATGTACTCAGTCCACAGGAGTCCCGCCACTGAAGGGTCCCGCGGTGTACTCAGTCCACAGAAGCCCCGCCACTGAAGGATCCCGCGGTGTACTCAGTCCACAGAAGCCCCGCCACGGAAGGATCCCGCGGTGTACTCAGTCCACAGGAGCCGCGCCACGGAAGGATCCCGCGGTGTACTCAGTCCACAGGAGCCCCGCCACGGAAGGATCCCGCGTACTGAGATGGACTCAGTCCACAGGAGCCCCGCTACGGAAGGAATATCCCCAAAGTTTACCCGGACCATTAAAGCTACGCCAGGTTCCCTGTGCATTCAGTCCACTTGGCGCTGGCAAACAAAGCGACGTCATTAGCACAGAACTGGTGGCGCCATTATCGCCGTCTAGAAATTGGCCATTGTTGGACTGCTTAGCCTACTTCCCGCGCTAACTATCAGCAGCCATAATCAGCCGTTCTGGACTGTGGACATATTTGCATAGTCGGGACTGCAAGGGTCGGTTACATTCCCACTGCACTCAGGGGTGGCCCATCTGGCACTCTCATCTCTCTTCACCACGACGCTGAGTTGAAAGTCCATACCTTCCAAAAACACTTTTCATATCTAAATATTTAATTAAAAAGGCATATATTCGATCAAAATATCATTTATTTTACTAATATTTCAGTTGGCTGAACGCCAACCTTTATCAAGGTGTTATAACATTTTAAAGTGTGTCAACAACAAACTAATCAACTATTAAAATAAATGATATTTTGATCCAATATATGCCTTTTTAATTAAAGATTTATCTATGGATTGCTCTATTTTCAAAACAATATCTAAATATATGGTTATAGCCTTAAAGTGGGACTTAAGTTAGGTAATGACAACTCAAACATAACATAACTTGAACTTAAACATACATATGGTATCTCTAAATGAAGCTAAATACATTAGAGTGCAAGTAATTTCATATTATTCTGTTGTCTCCTCGAGCATTCTCTCCTTGTGACCAGTCAAATAGATAACTCGAGATTGATTCAACGTTCTAGGCCAATTTGTGCTGTTCGCCATGTAATGTTTTGAACATGTAAACTCTCCGTTCATTTGTATTTTCAACATTTGCTGAAATGTTTGGATAGAAAACGGCTTCCTACATACGTAGTACATAGTGCTAACTCGAATCAACGTTTATTAAAACTAGGGAAATTCTGGGACTTTGGTAAAAACGGAACATATTGATTTATTAACTTGGAGGGAAAATTGTGTCCATTTTCAGATATAAGCATAAAATGTCTTCAACATCATAAACCTCTTTGTAGTTATCTCTTGGAATCTCTCAGCCCAGTTGCCAGGATATTGACACGTTACTGCCGCCGCAAGTATGCTCAGTCTCTCACATTACCCAACTTTCCTGGTGTCATTGTTGCTTATACAAGTTTATTTCTTGACGACTGCTGAACTATGTCTGACTGTGGGCGCAGGGAACAGCGGCTGCGTATGTCCCAGCCCAACCTGCTGGCGGCTCTCCAGGACGAGGAAGACGGAGTCCTCGAGTCCTTCCCTCGGCGGCTGGAACGCTCCACCTCCATCCCCAACCTGTGCTCCGAGGGCGTCTACGTCGAGGTACCGGCTCTGAGACATTCCCCTGGGGTGCAATACCCTCTATAATAGACACTTACGCCGTTCAAGAATGATAAGAGTTAGAAGCCATATGGAATGTTCGGGGTATTTTATAAATTTTTAAGTGTTTTTCCGCCAAAAAAACCTGTCATGTGCTGTCTCCTAGATAACATTTCACATTATCATTGATGAAAAAACAATAGAAAAAAAATAAAAGATAAGTGGGTCAGGTGTTGATATTAAAAATAAAGAAGGCATCTCCTGACCACGAGCACATGTGCTTTTTAGATGGCAGAGCGCCATTTAGTGGAGCAAAAATAAACTAAACGTTTATTTATTGGAGCAAGTTAAATAAACATTTAGTTTGTTTTTGCTCCACTAAATGGCGCTCTGCCATCTAAAAAGCACATGTGCTCGTGGTCAGGAGATGCCTTCTTTATTTTTATTATCATTGATGTTGTGTTTTGAAAATCTATCTTCTCGCCACGTGACATTGTGTGAGAGGAATCTTTTTTTTTTTTTTTTTTCTGATAGGTTCGGCTCCCGAGGCACAGTTGGCAAGAATTGCTCTTACTGTCTTCATATTTGAATATTATATTAGATTTTCCGTGTGCTACATTGACGGGTCCTTCATTCTGGCTTTCCAGTTTTGTTATAGACATTTTAAAAATAACGTCTATTTCATTTAAATAGTCTGGACATTGGAATAACAAGAATAGAAAGGCTGTTGGCGATGTTTCCTTGAAGACAAGCGCTAACATTTGCTACTTGACCATGTTTTGTACCATGGATGCCACATAGGAGTTGTGGTAACGTGTAGGTACATGGGTGAAGAAACATAAATCCTCCTTGTATGCAATCAGGAGCTAATGACGGGGGCACATTGTCTGTACGAGGATATCTGTGGATAATTCCGCCGCCATTGTTTCTCCTGATGATGGGAATTGAATGATAAGTCCCTGGGTCATGGCTGGGCGGTAGGTGAGGCCGGCACGTGGCGTTCTTCACACTTGGACGTTTTTTGAAACAATAAACGCTAATCAAACCCAGCCTGCTGTTAACACGTGAGAATATACCAACTTAGGTTCATGGTTGCATAGCTCCTTGTGCACTCAAATACATATTCTCATATATAAATTTTACATATATATGCAAATTCATATGTAAAGTAAAATTTGCACATTAACGTATTGGCATATTCATTTGCATAAGAGCATATCATTTATACATTGACTTTTAGAGCAAAGTTCGCTTTATATTCACAATTCCTATATTTATAATGGATTGAACTCAATCACATATTGACATGTCCATAATTCACATACCCCAGTTTGCCATGAACCAAGAGACACACATATTGCACATGCGCTAAGTGCTCTGTGGCGTACGCAGACCGGCCAGCGCAGACGGAGCATCCTGGTGGAGCAGTGGGAACAGAAGATCAAGGCGTGAGACCGCACTGATGTATGGATGCCAATAAACTTGTATTTAACTTTGTAATCTGTGTCGTGGTTCTTTACTGTGTCCCGCAGCCAGTACCACATGGATGCCAATTAATAATGAAAGTGATACCCCAACGGACAGTAAAACGCAAAGTAAAAAAGGGAACATTTGAGAATCGAACTCAGGATATTTTATTCAATAGATTCATTTCGATAAAACAATCCCTTGAATCAATACCAAAACAAGTCTTCAGGGAAGAGAGTTTAAGTTTCTTTAAAATAAACTTTTCCCTGGAGGCTTAATGTTCTTGTTTTTAGAGAGGATTCATATTTGGTTTTGAAGACGTACTGCATTTATTTCAATAACTGTGGTTTCTTTAGCTTCAAATAAAATATACTTCGGCCAGTAAATCTTTTTATTGTCTCGACGTTTCGACAAAAATCTTTTGTCCTCGTCAGGAGCGAATAAAAATTAAAACACTAACGCTTTGCCAAATGTTTTAATTTTTGTTCGCTCCTGACGAGGACAAAATATTTTTGTCGAAACGCCGAGACAATAAAAAGATTTACTGGTCGAAAAGTCTTTTATTTGAAGAAATATGAATGCTGGCCAGGTAGCCTCTATCTTTACGATGTGGTTTCTTTATCTTCAAATTTCTTTTAATTATTCTTATGTATTGTTGTTTCGTTCAGAAGTGTGGGAGATGGGAGAACTTTGCTATTTGCTATTTTATCTTTATCGAGGGGCCGTTTGTTATTTTATCCACAACGAGGGCCGATGGTTATCTTGTTATTTTTGTTGGTTTGTGAGGTTATCTGTTGGTAGCAAAAATGGCTCGGTATATAGAGAGAGGGAATAGCAGAAAGTGTCTTTAAGGAAGGCACAGCAACACAAACATTGGGGGTTAAAGTCTATGGATGACATAACAACAAAGTTAGATTGTAAAGCCGGTACAACAACAACAGCCATACAGAGATGAGCCAACAGACAAGATAGAGAGAGGTAGTTACCGAGTGTTCTGAGATCGACGTATATTTGATAGGTAATGAGCTAGAAAAGTTGAATCTCACTTTCAACAAAGATTGTAAAGCCAGTACAACAACAACAGCCATACAGAGATGAGCCAACAGACAAGATAGAGAGGTAGTTACCGAGTGTTCTGAGATCGACGTATATTTGATAGGTAATGAGCTAGAAAAGTTGAATCTCACTTCCAACAAAGTTGATTATAAAGCCGGTACAACAACCACAGCCACACAGAGATGAGCCAACAGACAAGATAGAGAGAGGTAGTTACCGAGTGTTCTGAGATCGACGTATATTTGATAGGTAATGAGCTAGAAAAGTTGAATCTCACTTTCAACAAAGTAAAGAGACCACTTTTCTACCTTATCCCTAATCAAAGTCCTGGGCTGGGGAAATGTTGTTGTCGTGTCCAATGAAGAACCTCAGATGTCCCCATGCATCTCTAGTGGATATTGCGACTGCTGTGCTGGAGAAATGACACCTCTGAAACACAATCAAACACCAGTATGAGAAAGAGAAATGTATAGAGAATAAAACGATATCATTCGAGAAATTTCCCGCAATAAAATCAAGAACGACATATAGCTTTAATAACTTTATCACAAAAGCGTGGACAAAATAGGTAAAACGGTTTCAATAATCAAATTAATAATTCTATTAAAATATATAATAATATATATACACTCAGGGACAAAACTTTAAAAAGTTTCATATGTTGATGTCGCCGGTTATCTATTTTTAATTTTTTTTATTTTTAAGGAGACAGAGGTTGTTCACACTTGGTTATCTCGTGTGTCTTCAATAAAGGTCACTGTAATATCTTTCAGAGTCATTGTTATTGTCTGAATCCTGATATACATGCTACAACTTCCTTAAGTTTTGTCCATGCATGTATTTTTCTATCATGTTTAATTGAAAATAATAATGGCAAAAATTTTCGTTTATAAAATTATACAAATCATATTTGAAATATATTTAGCCTTTACACTTAACTCGATTGATCATTGGTGGCTTTCAGTATCACTTCATATTCCACCAACCCAGATAAGTCAATCAAACATGGCGGGTAGAGACAACATGGTGACGTCATTACTGACTTGGCCAATCAGCGATCGCCCCGCCCGCGGGTCAGGTGATATCCCGCCCAGATAGGTCTCCTATCATGTATTGGGTAAAGTTTTCAACCAGCAATAATCGTGCCTCGGAAGTTTCTCATTGGCTACGATATCGTTTCTCCTATCTTGTATGTTAAACCAACGAAAACTTCGACCTTGGGGCAAATGTAAGTTCCACACACACACTGCCAGGGCTTATTTGAAGAGGATAAGACAACAACAACTGCTTTATTAGGACATTTCCGTCCTGTAAGGACTCGCCATACATCATTTTCATGGAGAAAGGGAAAAAAACATAAACAAAAGAGAGAAGGGAAAATGAAAAGGAAATCAAAGTATTCAACATAACTATACAAATTAACTATTGAAGGAAATTGTAATTTTAGTTCTCAGAGATTACCTTGTTCTCTAACGCTTTATGAAAATTAAATAATTCTATCGCTATATATTTTTTCTCGGACATTATTCTGTTTAGCTGAACTGGGTTCACGTAGACTTGGATAATTTTCTTTAAGATCTTATTCCGTTCCTCGTTAACAATAGTGCATTCAGAGATGTAGTGGGTCATTTCTTCTATGCTTTCAGTTTTTCAGAATTTACAAATTACATCTTCCTTTTTAATTATTTGAATGTGACTTTCTCTTAGTAAAGTCGAAGTGAAAGAGGATAATATACAAGATAGCATATTTTGGTGAGAATAGACAAATAAAATAATTTTATTGACATCTTGTCAATACATGCAAAGTGCATAATCTCCACTGTTTATATATCTGTACTCTTGATGAGAATTGAGAGGGTTAGGGAGATTCTATTTGAAGATATGAAGTTTCATATGACGAGGAAAGAAAGTAAATTCGCATACACTCTACCACAATGTTTCATTCCGTGAAACACAGAGGAAGGGGATGGATTTCTCCCTAATGTCCATCGAACAAAGACAATGTCAAAAGTCCGCACCAAAGAAAAGGAAGACGTCTCTAGATACTGACCGACCATTGCCATGATCCCATCAAATACTCCAGAGAACCATCTTGAGTTAGAAGATGCCTGGTAGACATTCATATTTCTTATGAAGCATTAGCGCGCCATCTGTTATCAAAATACGAAACTATTTTAGACGCGTATGATAATTTTTCCATTGCAGTAAGGACAGTAGAAATTGTTTTATTTTAAAAAGAATCATACGCGTCTATAATAGTTTCGTATTTTGAATTTCTCTTAAAAATAAAAGACATTTCGGTCAGAAAAAAAAGAACCTCAGAATCATTTATAACGCCTTGATAAATGTTTTATTTTTCCCGACGAAGACAAACGATTTTTGTCGAAAGGTCGAGAAAATAAAAGTTTTCTGTCCAAAGAACCATGTTATACCATTCTTCCATGACTTCAGGCCTCAATAAACGCCGTCAGACCAAGATGACCTACAGTGCATTCAAACAATTCCTAACTAACTTTACCGTGTTCCCATCAATAAGTTTTAACGTCTAGATTTCAGAGATGTTCTGCTGTGCTTACCTCGAACATAGGCCGGCAGGCCTGATTTGTCTGAAATGGTTTGCCAGAAATTATGCTCTATCCTATATCTTTTTACATTCATTGAGACCAAACTTATGGAAGTGGAAAGTCTTCGATATTCGTCTTTTTTTTAAGGAGACAGAGGAAATTTTGTTCACACTTGGTTATCTGGTGTGTCTTCAATAAAGGTCACTGTAATATCTTTAAGACTTATTGTCTGAATCTCGATATACATGCTGAAATGTACAACTTCCTTAAGTTTTGTCCATGAGTGTACACCAATACCTCGCTTTGCGTCGTTTCGTTTTGCGTTTTTTTCGAAGTTGCGTCGCTGCTTAATTTTTACTGATTTTCACTGTGCGTCGTTAGATTTTCGAAGTTGCGTTGTTTTGGATTCGAGTCTTTAATTTTTTTTCTGATTTTTTTTTCCTAAAATATGGCAACACCTTTGTTTTTGATTGCGCCTTCACATATTTTCACTTTGCGTCGTTTCAATTTACGTCGTGTTTTTTTGACGTGACAACGTCTTAAATTAGGTTGCGGCTGGGAGTCACTTATGAAAAAGTGTAACGCCCGGTAACGTTACGATGAGTCATCGAACGAGAGTGCTGCGCGCGCAGCGCTAGAGAATTAGGCGCATTGAATCGGCGCATGCTTGTCTCTGTCTTTGTCTTTCTCGAACGTTCTTGGCGTTGGAAAAACAAGAAAGCGTCATAATACAAGTTCACACGTGTGGTTAAAGTATCGTCAGCTGTGTCTGTAGTGAAAATGTGGAGTGCTTAGATTCGTCATTTACAACAACTACAACAATAAAGGTAAATAATTGTACACTGATATTTCATTATCGTAAACTATGATTGATTGATTAATTGTTAGATTGACACAAAAGTTGAGAAACTGAGTTTATAGGTTATGTCATACTATTGATAAATGTTGATAGTGTTAAGTAAATTATTAGTTTAAAATTAATTAATTAATTATTATCTTACAAATTTTAAATAGTTTCAAATTTATTTAGCAAAAATTTGAACCTTCGATCTGAATAAATGTTTTGAATTTCGAATTGATTCTTTAAAATTACAAATATTAAGAAAAAGTGGCAGATATAAGAAAACTTTATTTAAACTGTGTTGAGCAAGAATTTTAACATCTCATTTAAGTAAATGTTTTAATTTACAACTTCATCATTTACAATTACAAATTTTATTTAATTTCAAATTTATTTAGCAAAAATTTGAACCTTCGATCTGAATAAGTGTTTTGATTTTCAAATACCAACGCGGCTGGTGGAGTGGCGATCTATCGTAAATTATCATCGACATCTACGGCGGAAGTGTTCCAAGTTGCGATTACAGACGTAACTCGTGTCATTAAAACCAAGGGTGACATGTGCATGACTGAAGTTACTTGCTTCGCCGCTAATACTAGCTTCAAGTTTATACTCGGTGCTGTATATATTCATCCAGGAGCTAGTATGCAGGATATTGGAATGTTACTATGGCAAGGACTCGGTCCGTACATTCACAACAGCCAGTACGTGCCACCGTTCGTGCAAGTTGATTCTAGTATACCGATTCTTCTGTGTGGTGATTTTAACAAAAACGTAAAGCCTGACAACTCGTTTCTTAATTTCATGAAAAATACGTATAATCTTGATTGCGTATCAAACGTTTCTAAGTCAACTACGTTAAAAGGAACAACTATCGACTTGACTTTCGCAAGACACATTACAGCAGAAACACTTCCTTTCATTTCATATTTCTCCTATCATCGTCCTATCCTCAACAAAATCACTCAAATAGGAATTAGTTAAGTTTAAGTTTACATGTACAATGTTTTAGTAAACAAAATATATTTCTATAGTTAAAATTTGTGCAATTCTTATTTCATTCAATTCCTTGTTCCTATTGTGCAATTTAATTATATTCATATCAATAAATATTCTACCGTTGTCACGTAAAATCTTCGCCCGTAAAACCGACTTTACAGGCAACCATTGTTTTTTTTTTTTTTTTGAACGTAACCCCGACGCAAAGCGAGGTATGGGTGTACTTTGGTTCTGGTATAAAAACGGTTTAAATTTTCCAACTGGGAATTCTGAGGAGAATGTGCAGTAACACGGGATGTGCCACGTTGTCCAGGGGTGGTGGGGTTCTCTTCCAGCTATTTTGTCTTATCGAAAGAGACACACACACGTGAGTTTTCCGTAATTTCTATATCGTTTTAGAATTTGTGAAATCATCGAGCTATTTGGAATGAAGACTGGATAGAACAGTAAAAAAAAAATTTTAGTTCTTTCGTATTATGGCCTATATTTATATAAATTTATATTTACAAAATCTATATAATCTCTCTCCCTTACCTTGTTTATACGTTTTAGTTATCCGAAGGACTTGCTCGAAATATTCCTATAATCAAGTATATAAAAATGATTGCGACGTTTTATGCTTTTCGTAAGTTGCACGAATGTTTAAAGCAAATCCCTGGAAGTAGCAGACCTCCATTGTCACAGAGATATTTCCCGGGAAACTCCACATGTATGTCCACACAAAGAGGTGGTTGGCAATGTCATCGGAAATTTAAAGGAAATTACTATAGAAAATATGACAGTGATTATATGTTTTGATATGATTGATTATATGTTTATACTCGGAATTAGATCCCAAGTTCCCTGGAACAGAGCCTCAGTGGGGTTTCTCTATAATTCCATACACAATATATATCAAAATTCGAAACTATTATAGACGCGTATGATTCTTTTTAAAAATAAACAATTTCTACTGTCCTTAAGTCTCCTGGCTCATCAGTGGCCCTCCCATTAATTTTTCCATTGCAGTAAGGACAGTAGAAATTGTTTATTTTCAAAAAGAATCATACACGTCTATAATAGTTTAGAATTTTGATAACAGATGGCGCGCTAATGCATCATAACACAATATATATAGGATGTCCGAGCTCTGTTTAGTTACTTATGCTAACAACTCCGCCTTTGCCGGTCCCAAGCCCGGATGAAAAAGGAGGAGGGGAAGCAGTAACAAGCTCGCTAAAAAACCTGGGTTCAGCTGGCCCGGCTGATAGTACCCTGTAAGGGCTCCTAATCCAGGGATACAGGATGATCAGCGTTTGTACTCCATGTTAGGAGCAGCTGCACATGGCGTCTGTTCCTCATGTCAGAGGCAGCCATTTATTTTGGAGCTAAGTCGGCCTGCCACTGAGTAGTGCTCTCAGTCTTAATGACCAAGACATTCTACTTCACCCAGTGTGGAGATAAGAAAGAATAAACTTGTGCTAAATGATTGGTTAGACCATTGAACCATTTGATATTATTTTTAAAAAACTTCCCAAAGGGGCAGCAGCCCAGAACATCTTTGTTCCAAAATAAAGTCCGCCATACAAAGCGAGGGCTGGAGGGCGGAAGGGGAAAATGAACCTCCTCACCAATTAATTTTATTAGCGGGACCGATGGAGGGAAACAAACCTCCACGTCACCTGCTGTCTGTCTGTCTATCTGTTTGGCTGTGGAGTGGACGCACTTTGAACACACTCCTTCACATCGCAGCCTCCTTCGCATCGCAGCCTCCTTCACATCGCAGCCTCCTTTACACTGCAGCCTCCTTCACATTGCAGCCTTTTTCACATCGCAGCCTCCTTCACATTGCAGTCTTTTTCACATCGCAGCCTCCTTCACATTGCAGCCTCCTTCACACTGCAGCCTCCTTCACATCGCAGCCTCCTTCACACTGCAGCCTCCTTCACATCGCAGCCTCCTTCACACTGCAGCCTCCTTCACATCGCAGCCTCCTTCACATTGCAGTCTTTTTCACATCGCAGCCTCCTTCACACTGCAGCCTCCTTCACATCGCAGCCTCCTTCACATTGCAGTCTTTTTCACTTCGCAGCCTCCTTCACATCGCAGCCTCCTTCACACTGCAGCCTCCTTCACATCGCAGCCTCCTTCACACTGCAGCCTCCTTCACATCGCAGCCTCCTTCACATCGCAGCCTTTCTTTTATACAGTTATAATACTTATTCCATAGTAAATACAGGGTATATCCCAAACCAATACAATAGTAGAGCGGTCTAGAGATTAATTTGGCGAAACCGCTGAGAGGGTTCACTACTGATGAGCCAAGCCCTCTCATTCATTCAATAATCATTGCAGTAAGGTCTGTAGAGATAATATTTGATCATATTATTTAAAAGAAACACATTGCCAGTAAATGTATACGTTACAAATTTCAACAGTTATATTGTGTTCAATAATCCCGTGTATCAATATAGGGTAAAAATGTCTCCAGGGAAAAGTATCTTTTCAATGAAAACGTTTACCTAAAGGAGAGAGCTATATTATCTACTCCTAGGTTCTATGTGGGGCACAATTTTAATAAAATTAAATTTGAAGTCTCGAGATATCATTCAACCAGCACGTATCATCCACCATGCATGTATTTTTCAAAAATATTTTGATTTTCAAACAGAAATAATGTAGCATATTTTTCTCTCATTATATAGTAGGTATTTAAACTATGTATATAATAACATGTATATAAAACTGTAATTATTATTAAATTGTTAAAGTGATAACCCTGTTGAAGGATTGACAAGTCTGAAAGCTTGATAATAAAAAGTTGAACAAGAAACTTAACCCTGGAAGCTTCATTTATTTTATAATATATAGTACATATATATAGTACAATTTATGGTTTTATAGAATGGACATCCAAGCAGCCACACTTTAAACACACTCCCTCACACTGCAGCCTCCTTTAGCCAGTTATATGATCTTCACATTATGTACGCCTAGTTATCTATGTAAGGTACAATTTATTGCTTTATAGAATGGACGCCCAAGCAGCCACACATTAAACACACTCCCTCACACTGCAGCCTCCTTTAGCCAGTTATATTCAAGTTATCGCTTTATTGAATATACGCAAAAGCCATCACATATTGAACATATAGCTTTTTTCTCTTTCAGCCTTTGCGGGTTATAAAACTTTTAGGTTCTCTATATTATACGCATGAAAGCTTATTTTAAAACTGAATAATCGTTAGCTGTTGAACCATTTATAAGTTTTAGATATTTATATATATTAAAAATAAAGAAGGCATCTCCTGACCACGAGCGCATGTGATTTTTAGATGGCAGAGCTCCATCTAAAAAGCACATGCGCTCGTGGTCAGGAGATGCCTTCTTTATTTTTGATATCAACACCTGATCCACTTATCTTTTATTTTTTTCTATTTATATATATATTGCCACGTGGAAAATTAGGGAAGATCAACTTCGGGTTAAGACAACAATTTTATCAGGAAAGGACAAACTATGAATGGTAAACAAAAGATAAGCCACGAGGAAAATTTACAGAGTAGCAAACTATAAACATAAAAATGACCACTGTGTTAATAAAAATAATAATATTAATAAATAGTTTGTTACAATATATAAAATATACGATGCAGGAAGGTATTATTTATGTACTAAAAAGGCATCTCTGCCTTTAATATGCAGCAGAACGATGCACTTGTTCATCACTTCTAAAAACATTTACTAGTGGCTCATTCTTTCTCATCACTAGTAATTTCTTTACTCCAGGGTGGTGAACCAGCGCATCGTTCTGAAATATAATTAAAGGCAGATTCTTTTGGAACATGAATATATATAATAGCCTTTATGCTATAAAATATTTACATAAAAATATTGCATCACACATAATTAAACCTCTATTCGAATAGATTTGAAATCAGGTTTAATTTAGGAGTTTGCTTGGAACCCAATACATTCAGTACATACCCGAGCACATTCCTATCAAGCCTCCAGTTGAAATGTTTTACTAATTCTGAGGAATGTCTTATTATCGAAAGTGCGGTCGGCGGTGAGTGAGAGTTATGCCTACATTGCGCACGGTGATCTAGATCTTGGCATAGTTTCGTCCAATAAAAGAATGAACTCGTCTATTGAGTGGATATAAGAGCGAGATATCCTAACACCACATGGTTCACACAGAGTGGAGAGGCCACAGCAGGCCCAGATCCTGCCAGGGGATGGCTGCACCAGCTAGCTCCGCCAGAGAACTCAGGAATGACCGCAGATACACGTAACTCTTTGTAGATTTTCTCTCAAGAATCTCCAAAGATTATTCGTAACAGACCTCATTATTCTTGTAAGAACACACATTTCTGGATGTATTAAGTAGATCAAGTATGATTTTGAGAATATTTGGTTTAAAAATAGAAATAAGGCAGAGAACCATCTAAGGCCAGCTCTAGTATACGCTGGATAGACCGATTGAATGAATTATAACTTAGAAATAAAGTACAAATAAATTAGGTATAAACCTCAGAGAAGATTAGAAAATTACGTAAGTATGTGGATTACCTTTAAATACCTGCTATCCCCAGCCCAATCTGTCCTGAGACCCAAGTAAATCGATACTCACTGGACGAGGTGAGGAGCCGAGGTCCTACCTGGACGCCACTCTGCCTCCACGTCAACGGCACAGAGATATTCATCCCCGTTGCGACATCCATCTTATCTGCTCCTCCAAGGCTATCACCGCTGCCACTCGAGCTGCACTCAGCCCTAGGCCTACTTTCTTACCTACACAATTCAAAGAAAACTCACCAAGAAATGGGAACTCGCGGAACAAAGGAGTCCACTAGAACTAGCGAATCCACTGTTGTCTTAGCTTGAGCTGGTGTCCCTCCTGGCTGCTCACACATAAATACAAGTTGACTCTGTTTTAAATGAAGGAAACAAATTATTTTATTCTAGAGACTATACATACGTATTGCCAGTATATATATATACGTTCATGGGGAGCGTAGATGACTCGATACTGCATGTGATCGGTTCCTTGGTCATGGCACAGCCTGGAAACGATGCCGTGATTTTAAACAGAGTTCAGAAGGCCCTCTGCAGCAGGGTGAGTTGCCTCAAGGCATTTCACCACGCGGTTAAGCTTTCCTTGTTGTTCTGTTGGGTCCTTTGGTCCGCTGATTCCAGTCCCATCAAAGAATCCCGTGATATGCCACGTTGTTCTGTTGGGTCCTGTGGTCCGCTTATGCCAGTCCCGTTAAAGAATCCCGTGATATCTCACGTTGTTCTGTTGGATTCTGTGGTCCGCTTATGCCAGTCCTGTTAAAGAATCTCGTGGTAGCCCCACGTTGTTGTCTTGTGTCCTGTGGTCCATCGCTGCAGTCTACCTCAAAGAAACCCGTGATATCGCACGTTGTTCTGTTGGGTCCTGTGGTTCGCTTATGCCAGTCCCGTTAAAGAATCCCGTGGTAGCCTCAAGTTGTTCTCCAAGTTCAGTAAACCTAGGGGTGTATAGCCAAGTCTATCTATGGTCGGTCAACTGAAGTAGTTCGCGCTCAAATTTGACTTTTACTTCGATCTAATCTACAA